GTCGGTTGCATTACGCGATAGAAACAGGGATCGGGTCAACGACGGGTCACGTCAACGGAGGGGCATGAGGTGGAGGAGGAGGAGGATGATGGGGAGAATGGCGAGGACGACGTGGTGGAGGAGGATAAGATTTGAGCGTTGGTTGGCGCGGAGGTCAGACAATCACTTTGCGAAGCGGTGCGTCTGCTCTGGCTGCCCACTCACTCAACGAACCGAAACAAAAAAAAAAATAATATCTCGATGGTACCCGTCGACCCGATCCGCCCGCTCGCACGTCGTCTCCCTGACGGCCTTCTTCTTCTTCTGCTCCTCCTCCTCCTCCGCCTCCTCTCCATCTCGTCTGCGCCGTTTTCCTCTTTTTTCGCGCAGGGTTCGCGAAGAATCATATTTCAAAACCTTTATTCCGCCTGGATATTTATAGCTCACCTGTTCCGCCAAAGTTTCGTGTTTTCTGCTCACGGCGGCTCACGGCGGCGGCAGCCGTCAGAGCCGAGCCGCCGAGGAGAAGCTAAGCGCGCCTCGCGTCTCCTATACGCGCGCCGCCGGCCACTCCTTGTGTCCGTGTCGTTTTTCTTTCTCCATTTTTGTTCGGAAAAAAATGATGAGATAAGCTGGAACTTTCCCATTGTCTGGTGGGTGCCGGGCGGTACGGTCGGTCGGTACCCGTCGCGGTGGTGTGCCGCCCAGAGCCGCCGCCCTGGTCCAGCAGAGCCCCATCAGTCACTGATGCCGATCTGTTGTCCTCGTCATCGGCCTTGCGCTGCTGCTGGGCCGTGGTGCGGGGCCCCTCGATCATAACGTATCGACGCATCGAAACAAAAAAGGCACTTTCCGGTGTCGAAGTGGGCGGTGCTCGTCGAAGTGCCCCGCGCGGCGCGGTCCGGCGTGCGCGCCGATAGCATCACCCCCGCGATGCAGCCCTGGGCGGGCCGGGCCGGGCGTCGTGGTGCGCCGTGCCGTAGAGCATCACGCCCGTGAATGATAGATAACTCGGGGAGAGAGAGAGAAAGAGCGGGGTATAGATGGGTGATTGCTGGTGAAGTTATTTTCTCGAGGCACATCTATCAACAGAGTCGGAAACGAAAAATATATCGGAGTCCTCATTGAGCGCCGACGACGGCGTCGTCGCCGAGGCCGCGGACGTGGCCTTTTCTCGTTGTTATCTCGCTCCTGTTGAAAGCCCCTTACCGACCTGCTCCCATGAGCCCAGGAGTCCTAACGACAACGGCAGAGAGTCGGTGCACCGCGCGCGGGGCGCGGGGAGAGTGGAGAGAGAGGAGGGGAGGGGCCTACAGGCGGGCGCGCGCCGCGTCTTTCCATGGCGGCTTAGAGGGGGGAGGGAGGGGCGACAGCAAGGCACGGCTGGGGGCCGCCTGCCCCCCCCCCCCTTTCCCCACAGCACCGCTACCGTCCAGCCCCCCTTTCCCTTCCCTCCCCCCTCCTTACCCCCCGGCTGGGGCCCGCGCGAGTGTGGGAACGCGACCGCCACGAGACCGGTGAAGGGCAAAAGTCACCGTACCCCGCCGCCGCGCCGCGCCCCGCCACCACGCCCCGCCGGTCCACAGCCGCACCCGGAGCCTGCGCTGCCGCCTGCTGGAGCTGGAGGAGCCTGCTCGGGGCGGTGACGTACCCGGTACCCGAGCGCGACGCTGCACGAGTACCACTTCTCCCAGTCCTATGGTCGCAGCATGGGGGCCCTCCGCACAGGAGTACCCTGCGTACCCGAGTAGAGGAGCAAAGGGGCTATGCAATGCACTGGAGTATTTCTAAACGGGCGGCCCCTTGGCCTCACATATTGAACTCTTCCCCCCACCTTTCCTTCACTTCTTTCCTTTTGTCCACACCGCTCTATAATGCGGCTTGCAGGGGTCGTAATTTCAATTACGGAGCAGCGAACGACACACGGCGGCGGCGGCGGCGGCGGCAACATCTCTGCGGCCAGGAGCAGGAGTCGCCGTCGTCGCGATATGTCAGGCGCGCGACGAGTCGCGCCAGAGGAACGCCCCACCTCACCTCACCCCACCCCACCACACCCCGCCCCACCGCGCCCCACTGCGCCGACGACAGCTCGGCCCAATCGATTTGCTGTCATTTGGTCAATTGCTGCGTTAATTGGCGCGACTGTTGCGCCGCCTGGCTGTCCCGGGCGCCGCCATGCGACGCTGCTGGTAATGAAGCAGTGTGCACTCGGGTGGGGCGGGGCGGTGTGGGGCGCGGCGATACATCGCGTTATTTACGACGGCGCCGCCGCCAAGCAGAGCCCGTCGCAGGCCCGGCCCGCGATGGCCATGTGCGCTGCGCGATCACACGCCACGTTAGCGGGGCGTGGCGGCAGAGTGCGCGGAGCGTTGCCCCCCTCATCGACTGGCTATCGGGTCCAAAGGGTTGGAGTACAGCAGGCGAGAAATGGATGCTGGAACTATATGACATATTTTATTTTAGTGAACAAAAATTTGGCACATAACCCAAGTGTGGTCCGTTTTGAGAGGAAGGATTCAGACCGGCAATGCAATGAAGAAGTAGGGTAATTATGCTCGTCGTGGTTTCTTTCTTTCTTTGGGTTCCAGTTTCATCGCGGAATACTTTTTTGGCGTTAGGTGCAGGGTTGATACTGGCCAAATGGCAATCGTGGCTAGTTTAAACCCTGCAAGGAATTATCCAGAAAGTACGTCTGTCATTCGCCGTTTTCGAACGTTCGCCCGCACGCTTTCAAAACGCCTGGTAGGTGGGCAACATCCTGCCTACGGGACATGCATGTACTGTGGGGTTGCCTACCCCGATGCTCGCAGGCGCCGAGCTCCACTAACTTGCCGATTGAATCGGAGGGAAACGGACTACTTTCTGGAGCCGAATGCGTCTAAAACACGCCCAGGTTTTTCAACGCGTGCTTTCATAGTACATCAATAAAAATTACAATTCATAAAATCCTCTAAAATTTCACTTTTTGTCGTCGTCGAAGTTTGTTGAAATTTGGTTGATTGGTTAAAACGTAGTTTATCAGGCCTACCACTACCACTCTTGCTGCGCAACATGTGGTCGTGTTTGTTTGTTTGTGTGCTTTGCGCACAATGCCGAGGCCAGCCCGGAGCCAGCCCGGACCAAACTGACAGCGAATCAGTTCATTACGAGGTATAAAGAGCGTCGAGGAGCTGCCCCTGCGCTGCCCCGCGGCCGCCTGCCCGGCGCTGCTCGCCTGCCAACCGACCGGTAATCCAACGATTGAAATTTAAATTTATGCTCGCGCGCTCGACCGCTCAGCTGGGCGCCATGCGCCATCCGCGCGGCCAGCCGGGGGCCTCGGTCGGGGCGGGGCGCGGAGGGCACGGCATAGGACGGCGGCGGCCGGGGCGTGCACCGCCCGGCACCGTGAGAGCGGGCAGCGCTGCAAGTGCGTCGGGACGACGTGCGTACACGGCCCTTCTTAGTGTTAAACCTCGGCAACGCCACTACAGCACCGTAACGAAAAACTTACCCTGTTTTTATGAAACATTGTCCCCTTGCTATCACACCGAGCTAATCGCTGGGCTGTACTCGAACGTGTCGCGTCGCGTTCCCCTGCCGCGATCTGCTGCTGCTGCTGCTGCGCCCCCCGGGTGCCCGGGTGGTTGGTTGGTGGTGCCCGTGGGAACACCTGGGGGGCTCACCTCACTGGACGCGCTGCGCATGGACCAAGCCGAGCAGGGGGAGCCACCGCGCCGTGTTTTTCTAATGAAACTTGACGGGCGCATAAGGCTCCCATAAGACCTGAAAAAGATATGAGGACGCCCCTCTGTCCTGCCCCGCTCCCCACACCCCGCCTCTCGCCCCCTCGATCGAATTTGTATGCGAGGCACGGTGGGTAACGAGGAAAAACGCCGCCGCCGGCCTAAACGCGCGCGGGGTGCGGGGCGGACGAAAACCTCGGGAAAAGTTTAGTGTTTATCTACCCATCGAGAGACTCCGCTGCGGCGTGGGCAGGGGGAGGGGTGGGGTGGGGGGTGGGGGGCGTTTGGAAAAAAAGAGAGGGTAGTTGCGTTTTTTACTGGCCACGCGGAAGTACGCAGTGTTGTATGGGTAATGTATGGAGTATGTATATCGGAGTAGGAAGCAGCCGCCGCACCTGGGGGAGGAACAGGAAGGAATCTGTGATGGAACGCGGAAGCAGCGGCGGTCCCAGCCGCCGCCCTTATGCCGGGGCTTATCCTATGCGGGTCCTAGGGCCACCTTTTTAATAGACTTTAGAAAAAATGTTAAAAATCATGTAAATCGTCTGGTTTTTTCGTCATTCTGTCGCCCGAACGTTGTTGTTGTTATTATATACTACATATAAGCGAAGCCACAGTGGCGAGCAGCAGCAGCAACGTCGGCCTGCAGGCGGGCGTGGCGGCGACGGGCGGCCGGCCGGACAGACAACGTGTTTGTGTAGTTTCCAGGTCACATCATATAAGACGCTTGCAATCCTGATTCATCAATCATGGCTAAGGAATGAGCCCCCGCGCCGGCCTGCTGAAGAAACCGTTGGGGGCCGCCTTCGCCGCAGCCGCCGCGCCGCTTTTGCTTTTGCGCGGTCGGCGTTGGCCAGCCTGGACACACGCTTCGCCTGCGACATAAAGATGGCTCGTTAGGCGCGCGGCTGCCACCGCCGCAAAAACCATGCGAATAAATGGGCGCGTCTTGTTGCTGCCGCGCGAAAACTCTGCACGGCGGCGGCGTCGCGGAGAAATATTGGGTGCCGTACGATTTCTCATACGAAAACCTCCTCGAGCCTGCTGCTGCTGCTGCTTATAAACTCACACACACAAGCGACCGGGGCTCTCAAACTCCATTAGAGGCAGTTTGTCGGCGTCGTGAAAATCGCTGATTGGTGGACGGGAAAACGTATATAACGCGTTTGGAAGGGCATAAAAAAAGGTCGGCGGTGAAGGGGGAGAGAGGATAGGCTTCGACTATACGTATCGTGATGGATACGAGCTGGTCCAGGCGGAGGCTGTTGGGTCCGACAAGGCGGGCCATTCAAGGAGCGGGCGTCGTCACACCTCTTTGGAGCGTCTCTCTCTCGCACTCGGGGCGTCACGCCACTGTCTTGGGAGGCTTCCATCGCCCGTAGCGCACACGGTCAGCCTGACCAAAAATCTCGGAAGCGGTCTCGCCTGCAGCAGAAGGGGAAAAAATGTGAATGTGAAAAAAATGCCCTTCTGCCTTGCGTATGGTGGCCCTCGGACGTCGGTAAAGAAAGGTGCAGCCGGACGAAAAAAAACACACAAAATAAAAACGTAAGGGGCTTTTGTACGACGGACAGGAGGACCCTACCAGTCAAAAAAACAAACCGCTTGTGGGGACCCTGGACCCCGGTAGGGCCGTACGGCTCGCCGTAGGGCACAAAGGGTTGGACTTCGAGGGTGCGGGGCTCTTCGGGACACGACGTGATGCCTCCTGTTTTTGTTGGTCCGGTCTCGACTCTGTCACGTCGCAGGGCACATATAGGCAGCGTCCTGAAGAGGTTTGTCGTTTGGACTGTGACCACTCTCGGCGCGGGTCGATACCGGCGGTGAGCCCAGCAGGGCCACTCCCTATCTCCCCGGTCACTCTCGTCGTAGCGAGAGGCGATCCGCTGCCGCCGCGTCGGGACAGCGCGCCTAAGTTATGACCTTACCCGCTATCAACGCGGATGAGACCAATGTTTCGTATTTTTTTCAGTTTCTATTTTTATTTTTCGGTAACCGGAGGAGGGAGCGAGAGAGAGGCCAGAGCGGCGGCGTTCACCGTCGCGACAATCACCATCCCCAATCTGGTATTGAGATCCGTCAGCGATACAGCCGCAGGAGCCATCAGTGGTTTGATGGCGCGACACCCCTCTCTCTCTCTCTCTTTCTCTCTCGCTCACACTCTCTACTCTCTCACTCACTCTCTCTCTCTCTTTCTCTTTCTGCCGTATCGGACGTTATGGCCGCGCGGACTCCGGCCGGCCCGGGGATCAGGTTGCCCGGTGCGGATGAGGGCCTGCACGAGCTGCACCGGGACGCGACGAGGAGCGCGTGCTCGAGTGGCTCCCGTCGCCCGTCGCGTCTCCTGATAGCGAGGAGTGGCGCGAGTCGCTGACCCCGCGGTGGGTACAAGGTGCCCGACGACGACCGCCGCGGTGGACTCGGACCCGCGCCGTCAAGTGCCCCCGTGGCGCTGCCGGTGTGTGTCTTCTCTATACCATCGCGGCGCCCCGTGCTTTCGAAGCAGCCGTCGGCCGTATAACGTCGTGCGCCGCGCCGACACTCTGTAAAAGAAGAGAAGGAAACCATAATGAAAAAATAAAGGAGCTGACTTTGGAGCTGGATGAAAAAGCGGTCGGTCGGGAGGCAGCAGCAGCAGCAGCAGCAGCAGCACCGCGGGGATTATGACTTGAAGGAAGACTAACAAAGGACTAATCAGGCAGCAGCATGGACTGGACCGCGGCCCGGCGTGGCGTGGCGGGGAGTGGCGCGGCCCCCGCCTCGGCCCCCACGCTCCTCAGGTGCAGCCTCCCGTCTGGTCCACACACTCGCCGCCCCCGCCCCCCGCGCGCCCCGCCCTGCCTCTTGTAAGGGCCCCGGGTGGACTTCCTGCCCGGCTCGGTTCGGGAACCCGGACAAATTAAGTCGGACAAGCTGGTAGGCTTTTGGCTGTTGATCGCGCGCCTGCGCCCATAGCCTCTCCCCCTCCGCCCCGGTATACGCCTCGGGAGCTCCCCGGTAACGAGCGTTACGTGGGCCCGGCGCGCGCGACAACGCCCTGCCCGGGGCGTTCCGCCACGCCCCGCCACGCCGCCAACGCCCACACAGCAGTCTCCGTGACCGCCTCGCCCCGCCACGCCGGCCGAAAAGGCGTTCGTCCGTACGTTCCGACCGCAGCTCCCTATCGGCGGCCGCATCAAAGGTCGGGCGTTGCCGCTCGGTCCGGCCCGGTCCGGTCGTGTGCTTAGCCGGCGGCGGTCGTCGCGGCGGCGGCGGCGGCGCGCGCTCCGTGAGCCGCACGGGGCTCCGGGGGGCTCCGGGGAGCTCCGCGCCGACTCATCGGCGGTGAATAGGCGAGGACAGAGCCCCCGTAATGATACGGCTTTGTTTTACCCCCGTCCGGTTGCTGCTCGGGTCCGTCCGTGATGGGGCCCAGCCAGGGGCCCCGCGGGAGCCCCCCGAGGCGCCCGGAGGAGGGGCCCCGGCATCGCACCGCATCGGACCAGAGGGCGCGACTAATGCGGCCGGAGATCAAGGCTGATCTGTGCGTGTGCAAGGGCGTAAGGCACCCGGGGCCCCCGGGGCAGGCAGCCGGGCCGGGGCGGCGCGCGCCGCGCGAGTCACGCCCTGGGACGAGCCACGCTCCAGCGGGGCTCCAGCGAGCCCTCCAGTGGGGATCCAACGGGCCTCCTCCAGCGGGTCCAGCAGAGCAGCCTCCAGTGGGGCTATCCAGCCGCAGCCTCCAGCCAACGGCCATCTGACCAAGCAGCTCTGGACAGCTCGCCTTTTGGCCCCCCGCTAATCAAAGGTTGCGACACACACGCTCTCACACGCGTGCCTCGCAGATGATGAGGACCACTCTAGACGCGGGCGCGCGTTGCGCGAGGGGGGCGTGGCGGGGCGGGGCGGGGCGCGTGCGTCTGAAGAGGCAAAACGAGCGGCGGACGGGGTCGCCGAAAATGCTATCCTGCTAATCAGGTTTCTGTGGCGGACGAGACGCATCAGTCGTGGAGTGCGTGTGCGTGCGTCCGTGTTGCACAACCTGCGCCCCAGCGGCAGCAGCCCCGCGGGCGCGGCGTGGTGCGCGGCGCTACAGCGGCCAGCATACAGGTCTAAAGGCGTCATTATACTCAACCTCCCTGGAGCAGCGCCACTCTTCGGCGCCTGTCACAATCACGAAGCAGGCTTATTACGGCTTCGATTCAACTTCACACACACCTGCTCGACACAGTTTCATAGGCATCAAACTAGAGTAAATCATGAAAACTTTGTGAACAATTTTATTTTAAGGTATCTTAAGATGTGCAACAGTTTTTGAAGTTGGACATTTTAAAACGTGCTTTTCAGATATATTCTTGTATATTCTTGTATATTCTTGTAAAAATGTCAGGCAATATGTCACAAGACACGTCCTCCTCTATTTTGCTTACCCGACGAGGGAAGGTGGGTGCGTCCAGGAGGATCTATTGCATACGACCGGACCCCCGGACCCGGGCCAACGGTAGATATATAAATATGCATCAACAACAATTTAACGCCTGCACCCCAAAAATCTCCCCCCTTAGCATGTTTTGGGGCGGGGCGGGGCGGGAGGGGGCGGGTGTGTAGTGTAGAGTCCGGTGGTGTAGTCCCGAGCTGTCCGTCCGTCGTGCCCCGGGGCCCCAGACACACACCCCGCCCCGCCCCGCCGTGCCACGCAGCGCGCGTGTGTCCGCCTTCAATCACCTTCTTATCGCTCTGGGGGCTCGGGCCTCCGCCGGGGCGCTGCCTATGGGCGCTGCAAGGGGCCGAGCCATAAAAAAGGGAGCACGCTGGGCCGGACCATAGGACCGGACGGACCTGGGACGGACGGACGAATGCGTTTTTCATCATTTCAGAGACGTCAATAAGTCGGCAGGTTTTTCTTTTACACGCATCGAAATATAACAGGAAACAACTCATCTTTGGACCGTCGCCGTCGTCGTCGTCCCCTGGCTGCTGCTGCATCCCTTACTCCATGTTCTCGCCGTGCTGGCTCCCACAACACACGCACCCACTACACTCACACATTCTCACGCACCCACACTCGGCCGGCCCAGACACCACCACGTCCGTCCGTCCCCCAGTGTGTGTGTGCACGTGAGCGCGTCAGCCGAGGTCGTATATCTCCCCGGGAGCCCCTCCCTTGTCGCCGCGCGGGGGCAGAGGCCGGCGACGACGTCATACGCGGCGGCGGCGGCGGCCATGGCGCGCTGTCCGGTACCTCTGCGCCCTCTCCAACGGTATAAGGCAAGCCGCAGCTTGCTGCTTAGACTCTGGTCAGAATGGGTGCGCGACTAAGTGTGATTTTCGAAGTCTGTGTGTGTGTATGTTTGTATGTGTAGGAGAGAGACAGATACACAGAGGAGTGGGAGGAAGATAGAGAGAGTGTGTGTGTGTCGATGTATGTACTTTGGGGTTTCTGGAAAGTCTGGCGGAGAGGTTATTGTACGTGACTCTATGCGGGACTAGCCCATTGACGGAAGGGCGGGGCGGGGCAGAAGAGCAAAGAGTGGGGAAATAAGAACTAATAGCGCCCGCGTCCGCCCCCCTC